TCCGCGCGGAGCTCCGACAATTCGTGCCTGTGCTGCACCACCTCCTCCGCGTGAGGGCGGGCGGACTCGGCAGGAGGCCCACTTGCGCCCGCCTGCACTGCCGCAGCCAGGCGGTTCGCGCCTTGGAGCCGCGCGCCGTGCTCTGGCCTTGGGCCGCCCGCCGAGCCCGCTGGCGGCCCTGGCGGCGCGCGGGGTGCCCAAGCCTCCCGAAGCTTAGGCGGGGGGCCTGGCGAAAAGTCCTCGGCGCGGCGGGGGGACCTGGCGCAAAGCCCTGGCCTTTTCGGGCCCTGGGCTCGGGGAGATTTTCGGTTTTTTCCCAACCATCCTGTGGTGTTGGGTCCTCGTTTTGAAGAGACGGTGCCCCGCGTCTCTCCTCCTCTCCTCCTCCCCCTCCTCCTCCTCCTCCTCTCATCATCAGCATCATCATCATCGTCATCGTCACCGTCATCATCAGCATCATCATCATCATCGTTCTTATCACCATCGTCGTCATCATCATCGCCGTCTCCATCATGGCCACACGTTTCGTGGACCCATAGTGAGCTCCACCGAAGGCCCCAGTGGCAAGGTCCGCATGCGGTTCCACCTCCATTTCGGCGCACCCCTCACACGTTCCGTGGCCCCATAGGGAGCTCCACCGAAGGCCCAAGTGTCAGGGTCCGCATGCGGTTCCACCTCCATTTCGGCGCACCCCTCACACGTTTCGTGGCCCCATAGGGAGCTCCACCGAAGGCCCAAGCGTCAGGGTCCGCATGCGGTTCCACCTCCATTCGGCGCACCCCTCACACGTTTCGTGGCCCCATAGGGAGCTCCACCGAAGGCCCAAGTGTCAGGGTCCGCATGCGGTTCCACCTCCATTTCGGCGCACCCCTCACACGTTTCGTGGCCCCATAGGGAGCTCCACCGAAGGCCCAAGTGTCAGGGTCCGCATGCGGTTCCACCTCCATTTCGGCGCACCCCTCACACGTTTCGTGGCCCCATAGGGAGCTCCACCGAAGGCCCCAGTGTCAGGGTCCGCATGCGGTTCCACCTCCATTTCGGCGCACCCCTCACACGTTTCGTGGCCCCTCCATAGGTTGCTCCCACCGACCCCTCAGATAGGGAGCTCCACCGAAGGCCCAAGTGTCAGGGTCCGCATGCGGTTCCACCTCCATTTCGGCGCACCCCTCACACGTTTCGTGGCCCCATAGGGAGCTCCACCGAAGGCCCAAGTGTCAGGGTCCGCATGCGGTTCCACCTCCATTTCGGCGCACCCCTCACACGCTTCGTGGCCCCATAGGGAGCTCCACCTGAGGCCCCAGTGGCAGGGTCCGCATGCAGTTCCACCTCCATTTCGGCGCACCCCTCACACGTTTCGTGGCCCCATAGGGAGCTCCGCCTAAGGCCTAAGTGGCAGGGTCCGCATGCAGTTCCACTTCCATTTCGGCGCACCCCTCACACGTTTCGTGGCGTCATAGGGAGCCCCGCCTAAGGCCCAAGTGGCACGGTCCGCATGCAGTTCCACCTCCATTTCGGCACACCCCTCACACGTTTCGTGGCCCCATAGAGAGCTCCGCCTAAGGCCCAAGTGGCAGGGTCCGCATGCAGTTCCACCTCCATTTCGGCGCACCCCTCACACGTTTCGCGGCCCCATAGGGAGCTCCACCGAGGGCGCCAATGGCAGGGTCCGCATGCAGTTCCACCTCCATTTCGGCGCACCCCTCACACGTTTCGCGGCCCCACAGGGTGCTCCACCGAAGGCCCCAGTGGCAGGGTCCGCATGCAGTTCCACCGCCATTTGGCGCACCTCTCACACGCTTCGTGGCCCCATCGGGTGTTCCACCAACGACGATACTTACAACGGCGGCATTCGGAATTGCGTATGGTTGGGCCCTTCGCCAGGATAATTTCGGCCTCTCAGGGCCGTTTTCAGGGCCCTGGGCCAGCAGAAATGGACCCAGGGTTGCAAGCTGCCTGAGATGGACTGGAGGAATCCGGGAACCGATTTGGGCCAGATATCTCGAAGTCTCCCAGATGGGGTCCGACTAGATGGGGTTGGAGGATCGCGCCGCATCGCCGATGCATCACCGACGCGACTTGATGTGGATCCCGATTTTGTCCGCGCTGGCGTCGCCGATGCACCGCCGACGTCGCGGATGCATCGACGATGCACCGGCGATGCGGCGCGATCCTCTGACCCCATCCACTCGGAGACCATTATGGGGAAAGCGTCAGGAGCTCCGGGGCCACGGATTGGAAAAGTATAATGCTGCGCTGCCGCGCAGTTCCGCCACTGCGCTCGGGCGGGCGGGGGGCGGGGCACCTTAGGGGAAGGGGAGAGAGGAGGGTTCACGGAACCCCTGCTTCCCCAGGCTTAGTATTTGATGCAGCTGTTTGCCAGAAGGGCCGCAGACGCAGGGACAGGGCCACAAGTAGGAACGCATCTGGGGCTCGATGCGTCGGTGGGGCCTTAATTGGTGCTTCGCAAGGTGCGCAAGGGCCCGACGCACACCAACCGCTGCAAGCACGGCACCGCGGACTGGAGAAGTACATGTCGGGGACGGTTGGGCCATGAGCATTCGGCGGCGCGCCGAAGGAGACAGGGCGAGGAAGGGGGCGGGCGGCCCTCTGCAAGGGCGGGGGGCCTCTCAGAGGGGACCGCCTCCTCCTCCTCCTCCTCCTCCTCCTCCTCCTCCTCCTCCTCCTCCTCCTCCTCCTCCTCCTCCTCCTTCTGCTCCTCCTCCTCCTCCTCCTCCTCCTCTCGCCTCCGCCTCTGCCTCCGACTCCTTCTCCTCCTCCTTCTCCTCCTCCTCCTCCTCCTCCTCCTCCTCCTCCTCCTCCTCCTCCTTCTCCTCCTCCTCCTCCTCCTCTTCCTCCTCCTCCTCCTCCTCCTCCCCCCCCCCAGGGTCAAGTTGGAGCCGTCTCGGGGTCTGAGGTGGCCCAGCACTGGTTCCGGCCAGCAGGAAGCGCGGGCAGGTTCGAGGTGCTGGGTTCGGGAAGGTTTTGGTTACCGTTTTAGGCCTCCCAGGGCCTTCTTCGAGCCTTGGGATTGTGAAAAGAGGATGAGGGGTGAAAAGTTTCACCAGGTGGACGCAGGCAGGGGTCTGGGGACCGATTTCGAAAGGAGGTTGGCCTCATCCCCCCATCCTAGCTGATTGTCTCGGGCTTCATCTGGATCAGACCCCCAGGCCGCCTCCAGGTGGGCGCCCCGGACTTCCAATGCCTCGAATGTTTCCGATGCCAGGTCCCCAGAAGTCCAGACCTGCGCCCAGGGCCCGCGTTTCATCCCAAATCGTCTTCAACGGTTCTGGGGCCTGGCGAGGGCCTTCGGAGACCGAAAGAGGTCGGAGAAGAAATGGTTCGTTGGGTGACGCCGCAACGCCGACCTCTTGGGATGGCATTAAGGGTCTTCGCAGCCAGCACCACATGCTCTTAATCACATTGATTGCACAAGCAAGCAAAAAAGTCAAAGCGTTGCATAATGTTTCAGTGCGTTTTTACTCAATCATCCTGTGTTGTTAGGTCCTCGTTTTGAAGAGACAGCACCCCGCGTCACTCCTCTATTCCTCCTCCGCCCTCTCCCTCCTCCCATCCCCACCTTTGCCCTCCACATGTCCACTTCGCCACACCCCTCACACGTTTCGTGGCCCCGTAGGGAGCTCTAGCTAAGGCTCAAAAGCCAGGGTCCGCATGGCGTCGGTGCCTCGTTTCACCACGCCGCTCACACCTTTCGTGGCCCCATCGGAGGCTCCAGCTAAGGCCAAATGCCAGGGTCCGCATGGCGTTGGTGCCTCATGTCGGCACGCCCCTCACACGGTGCGTGGCCCCATGGGGAGCTCCAGCGACGGACCAAACGCCAGGGTTCGCATGGCGTCGGTGCCCCATGTCGCCACACCCCTCACACGCTTCGTGGCCCCATAGGGAGCTCCAGCTAAGGCCCAGATGCCAGGGTCCGCATCGCGTCGGTGCCTGACTCCGGCACGCCATTCACACTTGTCGTGGCCCCGTAGGGAACTCCAGCTGAGGTCCAATTGCCAGAGCGCTTCGTGGCCCCAGAAGGCCAAATGCCAGGGTCCGCATGGCGTCGGTGCCTCATGTCGGCACGTCCCTCACACGCTTCGTGGCCCCATAGGGAGCTCCACCAAAGGCCTCAGTCCGCATAGCGTCGATGCCTGATTCCGGCACGCCATTCACACTTGTCGTGGCCCCGTAGGGAGCTCCAGCTGAGGCCCAAATGTCAGGTCCGCATGGCGTCGGTGCCCCATTTCGGCACACCCCTCACACGCTTCGTGGCACCAGACGGAGCTCCAACTGAGGCCCAAATGCCAGAGTCCGCATGGCATCGGTGAATGATTTTGGCACCTCCCTCACGCGTTTCGTGGCTTCCTAGGGAGCTCCAGCTAAGGTCCGTGCCCCACTTCGACACACCTCATACACGCTTCGTGCCACCATAGGGGGCTCTAGCTAGGGCTCACAAGCCAGGGTCCACATGGCGTCGGTTCCTCGTTCCGGCACACCTTTCACACCTTTCGTAGTCCCATAGGGGGCTCCAGCTAAGGCCCAAATGCTAGGTTCCGCATGGCGTCGGCAATTCCTTTCGGCACACACCTCACACGTTTCGTGGCCCTGTAGGGAGTTCCACCAAGGTTCTCAGTGCCACAGTCCGCATGGCGGCGCCGCACCCGTGTCAGCACACCCCTCACACGTTTCGTGGCCCTATGGGAGCTCCAGGTACGGCCCAATTGCCAGGGTTCGCATGGCGTCCGTGTGTCATGCCAACACACCCCTCACAGGCTTCGTGGCCCCGTAGGGAGCTCCAGCTGAAGCTCAAATGCCAGGGTCCGCACGGCGTCGGTGCCCCATTTCGGCACAACGCTCACACGTCTCGTTGCCCCATAGGGAGCCCCATCTAAGGCCAAAATACAAAATGCCAGGGTCCGCATGGCGTCGGTGCCTCGTTTCGGCGTCGGCATTTCATGTCGGCACACCCATCACACTTACGTGGCCCCATTGTCAGCCCCAGCTACGTCTAAAACGCCAGGGTTCGCATGGCATCGGCGTTTTGTTTCGGCAAACCCCTTCACAAGCTTCGTGGCCTCATAAGGGAGCCCCAGCTGAGGCCCAAATGCCAGGTTCGCGTGGCGCCGAAGGCGATATTCGTAACGACGGCACTCACAAGTGCATGTGGTTGGGACCTTCGCCAAGATAATGTGCTGAAGCAGTGATCTCCCTCAGGCGTTTCACATATGTTCATAGGCAGTTGGATGAAAATGTCGCGCTGGTTGCCCACACTAGC